TTATTTGATCGTTTTACTGTTTTTTCCACATGCACTGTAACAATACATAATACTTACTGAACCTCAAAAGAAACATTTCACTGTATTTACAGTATGCCTGCATAAAAGATTTTACGTTTTGATTAAAAGTTTTGTTAGTCTTTTTGAGTAATAGATCATTCATGACGGACCATTACATACTTGATTGACTTTATTGCATAGGTGCTAAATCACTTCATTAGTGAGAAACATGACTGGGCACAGGTGACGTGGTTTAAGCGGTTGAATGTCAAGCCAAAACACAGGAAGGAACCAACATACCCCATTTATCACGAGAGCAACATCTTCATATCCTCGGTACAGTTTGTGGGAGGTTAGATTAAGTCCATACAATGTTGTTGACTGTGTTCATATCCACCATTTTCTAACCTGTCAGGCCAATTTCAGAAACCTTGGGAGGACAGATTTGGCTCTAATGCAGGGATATCAAATATCATTCTTACAGGGTCTGATGTCTTTTGGTTTTTGCTTCATCTGGGCTCTCATTAATACAGTGTAGTGTGTCTAATTATTTAATAAACTGAAGAAATGCACAATTTCTACTCTGGCAACACAGTGCTTTGTACAGTAAGCACTGTAACTGTATTTCTAATGACGTGACTGTTATGAGCTCTTACTTGTAAAAGACTTTTTAAAAAAACATAGCATTTGTGTCAAAGTAAGGAAATCATAAGCTTCACTCTTGAAACTGACAACTTGGGTTGGAACAAAACCAGGAAGACACTGGTCCTTCCAGGAACTGAGTTTGACACCTCTGTTCTCCTGTAATAATTCCACAGTTCTGGTCCTTGGAGGAAACAATCCAGCAGTTTTTATTGGTCTCCTTCAGACAACAACAGCACAAGCACTGATGCATTCAGTTACTGTATATTAGCTGAATCAAACCCTTCCTTAGTCAAAAGCTCAAATGCCATGTTTTGTCTTTCTACCTTTCTCGGTAAAATGAACCTTTACTTGTTAATTTTTCCATTTACAGTAGGAGTAAGAACAATAACACATTTTTTGTTTCCTATGAGAAGGTCATGTGTTCCAGCTCTCTTTCTTGAATGATCCTGAAACTAAAATAAGAAACACTAGTGGCCCTATGAAAATCAGGGACCAGGGTTCTCAACCAGCTTAAGGCAGGCAGTGTAGCTGAAGCCTCACAGCTTGGCTCGAGGGTAGGCCTTGCAGACTAAGATCAATGAAAACAGGGCAAAAGATGTGGGCTTGCTTGTTATCACCTATTACTAATGAAAAACAGAATTGCTTCTAAAGTTACATCACATATAAACCTTCTAATCTGTCTGGATTCATTCTTCACAGCGCGTGTCATTTTAGCAAGAGTTAGACTTTGCAAATATTGTACAGTATATATTTATTCCTACTGTACATGCTTTGTTGGGATGGTGCACACTACAACAGGGCCGCTGTAACAAACAAACTGATCAGCTCATTTTTATATGAATAAGTTAATGCAGGCTAAGGAAGACTCAACAGCCAAAACATGGATCTTCTTCTGTTTACTTGATAGTGTGAAACGTATACTTTTTTTTTGCAGTCATTGCACAATTCTCAACTTCTTCAACACATGTGTATGTCCTAATGTGTGATATGTGCTTAAAATATTGAACATAAAAATCAAAATTTTCATTGACGAAACTTGGTGACGAGTATTTTTCTTCTAAAGAAAGAGTTCTCTATGAGAAATGTAAAAACCTGAACATAATTGTATTCAATATAAATCATGCAGAAATGTTAACATTTTTCAACTTAATGCCTTCAATTTATTAAAATCATTGTAAATAGGTGGTGCTGTGCTCAATCATCTGTTTCTTTATTTTAATGGAGTTAGAAGTCAAGGGGAGCAAATAAAATCCATGTGGTAAGATCTGAGTTAATGAACCCCAGCTTAACATTTTAAACGTACAGTGAAAAATAGTACACCATGGCATAAGTGATATCAATCGCTTTCAATAAATTCCTGTTTTGTCCAGCTTCAAAATCACACTTTGTGACTGCTGACATTGCTGCTACACCTGGCTGGCATGGGCAGTTCAGTCCTCTGTGACTTCAGCATTTACAGTATATTTGAAAAATTTAAAAGAAAAAACTAGTAATGTCTAGATTTAATAGCTTATTGAGGTCACAATTCATAATAACTGCTGAATTCCCTCTTGGGGAAAGAGTAGACAAGTGATCAAGGGTTACATCTACCTCAAATGCATTATTGCACTCACTGACCCCATAGAGAAATATCCATTGACCTGCCATGCATTAAAACCGGGCAACTTGCTCGTCACTGTTATTCTACAACATTGCTTTCAGGTCCCATTCGGTTCTCTTTGTCTTGCTTTCTTAATGCAGTTTCTCAATGCCACATTCAAGCATGTTGCAATAAAAGCTGAAGGAATGTAAAAACAAATTGTAAAAGGTGAAAATACTACTACTATAGAAGTTGAAATATAGCCTAGTAGTATAAAACATCAGTTACAGCTCTTTTAATGAGATGTTATTAAGGGAAATGGAGCTGATATAAGCATTACTGTATATTTAAAAATAAAATTAAACTTCTCAGGATCTCAGTTGATTGCAGACTTAATTTTCTGTTTTCCTAACCTTTTTCCCCCCTTAGTAGTCATAAACAGTGTCCTCAATGGATGTGGCCATTATGGTTTCTAAATGTCAAAATTACAAATCACCTGTTTGATTGATCATTAAAGAATTCTTCCAATTTTTGGAAACTGGTGATTTAAGGGAGACCTACAATTCCTGCTGGATGATGGTCCTCCAGGACCAAGGTTGGAGAATTCCTCCTATAGTCTGAATTTTAGGCTGAACAGTAAGTGCGTCAAAATTAAAATGAAAACCGCCTCATTAAATGATCTGTAACTTTACGGAGCCTGATTTAGTAAGACTATCTTCAAATCAAGAATGGGCCAGTGAGCCTTTGCAGAATGTCGGTGAGACAGAATGTTGGTCAGTGTCCTATGGGACATGAAAAAGAAGTAAAACGAGTGCATATAAAACTGTACTGCATATTTTAATGTGCACCCAGGAGACAAAAAAAGCCCACAAGGAATCATTAACAGTGAATCTTCTTACATTTTGAAAGACACTGCCCTACCTTTAATTACTGTAGCTTTACAACTAATTTTGACCTCTCTCCTACACACTGCTGACAAGGACTACCACCTGCTTTTATTATTGTTCTTCAAACCCACGGCAGACAGGAAAGCTCAAGGCTACAAAAGGGATTTATTCCTGTATAACACAGCCTATCAGCATCTCAAACTCTGGACTGGACTTTCAGCTTAATCCCAATATTTAAAACAGGTTCAGTCAGGTAACAGCTTTTTCAATCCATTCCATGGTAGAATATTGAAACTACCAGTATTTGTCATCTTGAATAATCAACTATTATGCCAATTAAATATTGGAGTAAAAATGAGTCTATTTGGCTCCTGCTTTCATCCAACGTGACGTATACAGTACATGTACCCATTTATAAAGCTGGGTATCTGGCTGGAGAGATCTCATTAAAGTATCTTGTTCAAGGATACAACTGCATTTCCTACGCAGTATTTGAGTTCACAGCTTTCTAGTCCACAACCTTAACTACTATTCTATGAAAGAAGACAGTTGTTCTCGTACTGGAATTATTTTAAAGGCTTCAGATACATGACCTCTTTCTCAGATACATGACCTCTACCTTTAAAGTGTTTATTTTCTTGACAGATGCAGTGGTATAATGGTGGGTACGTTAATATCAATACCTCACAGCTTTAGGACCTGGGGTATAAAAATGGGCTGTGTTGCTTATCTGCGTAGAGAATAACCGTTCTCACTACATGGTATGTTTGAGTGAGTTTTTACTGGGTACTCTTGGTCCTTCCAAAAGACATGATGATCGATTAATTGGCTACTACCAATTGTCCTTTACATGAGGAAGAGAGCTGGACAACCTCCACCTCATTAAGAAAAATGCTCCTCCTGAAAAAGCTAAATTTGTCTTGTTCTGGTGACTATTCACAATTGTATCGAATCTAATGAAGACTTGTCAATTACTAAAATATTGCAGTTGGGCTTTCATGGAGTTCAAATGCTCTACTTACAGATAAAACAAACATAAAGCTTAGTCTCACTTTAAAAACAGCTATTTGCTGAATTATTGAAGGAGTGTAAAAAAGTTAAGTTCGCATGCTGAAAATCATCAGTCCTCATTATATAGACAGCTGAGGTTTCATTTTCCCTCTATTGCAAAAAACATTGCGGTGTACTGTGGTTAATAAATGATCACAAAAAGCTTTGTAAATTATGCCGTAAGTGTTAGAAATATAAAAGGAGCTTTAAAACAGTCACAAGCATTTAGAGAATTATTTAATAAAGTTATGTGTTAAATAATCTTTGAGAAGGGACCTCTGAGTCCGAAGTCCTTGTGGACTATTCCTTATGTTTCTTAACAGGATGACTGCAAGATTCGTTACATTTTTTAATAAGGGTTCCTTAATTAATCCAAAAGCAAAATTAAATATTAAACCCTTAAGGCTTTTTTTTTACTAGAGCAGCCAGGTCAAAACATTTAGTCAAAGTAGCAAAAAGAACTTAAGGAAAACCTATAGACAAGAGGGACAAGAAAAGTACTGTATTTTGAAAATGTTTTGAGAATAATATAGAATGTGACTATACTGGGATGCCAATTTTATTCAATTCAAGGTAATGGACGGACATAAAAATCCTCCTACCTAATCATTAACTCATAAAATACTGGGTTTCCCAAGTTAAAGAGATAATGCTTCATACTGTTGGGTATTGGGTAGGACAAAATCAACGGCACTCTGTAAAAGTCTAGTTAATTGTTCAAGATTGAAGCAGCCCGATTTTGTTTCCCTGTAAAGACTGGAAAAAGAACACAATTAAAGTGGGAGATCTGTAGGGCTGAAAGTAACATGACGAAACAAAGAATCAGTGTCACAACATACCAAATTGTTGCTGTCGGTGCTCATTTCTATCTTCCCCACGAAAGGCCCCCATGTAGTTCCCACAGGTAGCTGCTGTCGACTGTGAATTCTGCGTTCGCCATCTTTCTGGAAAGCTTCTAGCTCTCCTGAAATAAAAAAAATGAGCATTAAAAAGTCATTTGCAAGTATGGAAAGGGAAGTGGACTTTTATTTATCATAATTTGTTCGCAACAAATTCTAATAAACAGGAGTAAAAAATCAATACTAGAAAAGACTTACATTATGACAATCTGTCTAAAACATCACATGCTTAATTACTTACAGCACTACTATTACTGTTGTTCTGAGAAAGCCCCTTGTTAATGCTTTGTTGAACTCTAGTTAATTAGCTGAGCAACAGGATAGTGTTGTTAGTGCTGCAGTTCCCTTATCTTATCTTTTAGATTTAGTGTTCTTTTTTTGGGACAGTGATTAATCAAACAGTTATGATAATAGGCTTCTGTGTCGTGACACCGTATCTGGACAACGTCATGTGGCTTTCAAGTGCCGATTTCCACATGGTCTCTGTGACAACCCTGAGTGCTTGGGATCAGGAAGACCCGTGACACAAAAGCTACACAGGATTAACCCTCAAACTTTGGTGGCATCTTCTTTTATCCATTTTTTTCTACCTTCTCCGTCTGCATCAGTATGTTATGACTTCACTGCTGATAAACTGCTATGAGGTCATCTCCTTGAAACATTAAATCTTGGAATTACAAAATCTTGCTTCTAATTACATGCACTTAAACACATGCATATTTCACTCTACTGTAAACATCACAGGATCTTTTATGTTTTAACATTTTTAACTATACTCAAACTATGGAACTACTTTTAAATGTACTCAACAGCCTGAGTTTCAGAAGAGGGCATAGCAAGGACTAGATCTTGAAGCGATTTCTGTAACCAGATTTGGGTCACCAAATTATTTGTTTTGAAATCATTAGCAGAAAATGAATAGTATGTGTATTTTTATAATGTATAAAATCTTAGCTTAAAAAGTTTAGTTTATCATAGCAGATATCAGAAAGAGTTATTTTTGAGTTGTCCTAATAATCTATGTTATTAGTTGTTATTAACTAAAGGTTAGTTTTATTTTCAGCATTTAAACTCCAAGAACCTGCCATAGAAACAAGCATATCATTTTTCAAAAGCTTAAACAGTTTGTATCAAAAATCAATAAGCCATTTAATGGAAGTAGAAGGCAAATATAAAAGCTTTGTTGACGTGAACAGGTAACAAATGGCTTTTATTATATAGAAGGGGGTATATGATACTTTATTGCACAGTAAACTGCAGCTTTTGGGAAATTAATTTTCATATGTACTTTCTGACACAACACAATACTAAAAAGGAAGATAATTCTAGTGGCATAAACAGTTCTAAAATTCATGTATTTGTTCTAAAAATACATTTTGGAGATTTATACAAGAAACAGATATACAGACAACATGCAGGTTGTGTTTACACAAAGGAATTGCTATAACGCCCAGTTTGCCAGTTTTCTTTCAAGAGTTTACTGTTCTAGCACTTGAATTCCCCAGCATTTCCGACAGCTATTAAAAGAGAAAGCAGACTGGACTTTCAAAGCTCCACTTGGCAATTTTGTAGTCTTATGGAAGGTACTGTATAAACACTTCCCATCTGACTGCAGAAAATGTCTACGTATGAATAGTTTTAAGAGTGAACCTATGTTGGTAGAATAAGGAAATGTGAGCTAAATATTTCCCATTTCAGGTCGCCAAAGCACACCACGTTTCATGCAGTGAGGCAAGAAGGTGGGAAAGCTCATTAAAATGAAATAATTAAGCATTCAAGCACAGCTGGTAAGCATCAGAGGGAAGCACTCTCAGAACAGGGAAGTGCTTGATGCATTCTGTTTGTCTTCTGATAAGGCTATCGGCCTTTAACCACTTGCGTCCCAAGTTCACATTTAGTCCCAGCTGATGCTTCTACATGTCATTTCCACTGGGTGAGCGTGAGCGTGGAGCGGGATGGGGCTCACAGAGAATCGAGCGGCTGTTGTTTGCACCCTCTTCCAGCTGCAAACAGAAGACCCACGCCGCCTAAGCTGGCATCATCACTGACAGCTGCTGTGCACACAAGCAAAAGAGGAGCCCATGGAAACTCAAAATATAAGCGTACAAATTCCTACCATCCAGCTTCTAAGATCTGATCATCTGTATCACAAGGTAAAGATGTTTACAGATTGTGAGGAAAGAGAAAGCAAAACTCAAGGATGAGAAAGAGCAGGCATGGGAGGTAGAGGAAGGCATGAAAGGTACAGGTGGTCAGAGGGAGAAGAGGATGAGAACAAGAGACTAGAGGTAAAAGAGGCTGAGGAGAAGGAGCCGCATTGAGGAAAAAAATCTATAATTGGAAGAAAAGGTTGAATTGGTAGTTGGACTGGAGAAGGTGATGGCAAGTTCCAGTCTTGGAGGGGGCCTGAGAGGGGGTATGGCTTTGGCAGAGAGGGAGATCAGTCTAGAAAGAGCTAGAGCTTGGATGAGACACTGCGGAGATAAGTTGTTAAAAAGGGGCACTTTGTCTAGATGTTATTCAGAAAGAGCACAGGCCAGAGATAAGATCAGTTTAGAAAAGCCTGTGATCAAAAGGTGTCTAGTATGTGAACAGAATCGAGGGAGAAGGAAAAGGACAGATCAAAAAATGGGAAGGAAGAAGAAGTAATGAAATGTAAGTCATGCTTGGGATGGCAGGAGATCATGCAAGTTCATCCAGCTAAAATCTGAATGAGCGTCAATCTCACGTCTGACGGAGGAACATATCATAGCATCGTTTGCATTGGCTATCACAGGAAATGTAGAAAACCACAGCAAGAGAAAAGAAGTGTCCGCTTTGGTGAACCTCATTTGATCATTTCATGTCATGTTGCCCATGAACAGCAAAGCTGATCTAAACTACAGTTAGAGTCATTCCTGACATTGGCAATTGACACAAAATTAATTCTTGCAATTCAAAACGATAAAAGACAATGATACATAGAATCAATGACTACTCAAAATAAGAAGAATTAATTCATTTTATGGCAAAATAGTACTCTCCTCGAGCAGAAGTGAAAGTTGGCTGTAGGTTTCCAGGTCTGCACCAGTAGGAAAATGTTGTTAATGACCCCAGACCTGTTGAACTGCAAAATAGCATTTTAACTCTTCTTGATAATGCATCTCTGAAGACACAGTATTGGACTTTACATTTTCTTGAATATCGAGATGTAGCACACACCTAATTCATATCGTTCCTCTTACTGAAGAAGAAGCATGGCATTCAGACAGCATGACTCAAAGGAAAGGGTCAATCGCTTTCTCATGCTTAAAACAGCTTAGAAATCCAGTGTAAACCGGAGATGGAAAGGTGCAAGAATCTCACCAGATTTCAGCACTGAGAATCCTGTTTGCCTAATGTAAACACACAATACTTGCCAGCAAAGCAAACATACTAGAGAACACACACTGTTAGCAAAAAAGTAACTTGAATCTCATTCAATCAAAATTGTGTTCCTATACATCAATATATGTGTGTGTATAGAGTGTATTTACAGAAACAGTCATCATTCTTAATGTCAGACATATTGTATATTTAATATCCCCTCACATATATCAACATTAATAAAGTAATTTGCAGTAGCACATGTTGTGTCTCTTATATGCCCAAACATATATTCTCTCTCTTACCATATATTCCCAAGCAGCTAAAGCTAATTCAATTCAAAACAGCAATAATCAGAAAATGAGAGCTGCAGAGGTTAGCATGAAGGATAGAAATATGTGTGCTGGGCATAAAATAGCATTACAGTATTGTAATGTATGATTTTATGTAATGATGACTTCTTTTACACAATGTTCTCTATTGGCAGCATACTAGAGAAATAACAACTTTTAAGTGTCTACTGAATAATTTTTATGCTGGAAGGTACTAACATTTTAAAGGTCCCATTTCACATTTTTAATTACAATTGTTTATTTGCTTTTTTAGGTGTTGGTGCAAGGTCAATGTATTGAATTCCTTAACCTTGCAGTGCGGGGACCACTTATTCATATTATGACAAGGCACAGTATTTTCACCATCAGAGCTCGGGTCTCTAATTTCAGTTCTCTCTCCTGTGCGACCCTCTGATATGCTTAGTGGCTCCTGCAGTGTCACACAACATGCATAGTTAGGCCCAAAATATCCTGTCTGTAAATATTTTTACATGCCAGATACGTGCTGTACTTAATGTTTTTTTGATAGTGTGTCACAATAGTACATTTTTAAATAGTACCAACAAAAGTGTCAGTAATGGTTTCACTAGAAGGCCACCTGCAGTTTGGATGAGAAATGCTCAATCACAGATGTGAACAAATTGGCTGCAGTAAACAGATGGCATTCTGCTTCATTTACAAGTTAATCAAGATCAGTCAGGAAATCCATTTAAATACACAGCAATATTCGCCTTAATTATTTGTTTTTGTTCACTGCAAAGATGCATTTTCATTATCACTAAAGGAGAAAAAGACATAGTCTAGATATATATACAATATGGTGAAAAGCACTTTTGATCTAAATTATTCATGAACAATATAGGTCTCTATCTCCTTTAATAGACAAGCTAGAAACCAAGTATTTTAAATATCTAAGGTAAAAAATGACATTTTTTCCTCATGCTTCACAGAAGAAACAAGGGATGAAGAGAGTAAGACAGCAGGATATGCCGGGATTTCACAAATGCTACCCCTGTTCATTTCCAATGTGAGTGTTCATCTCCACTGTTGAAATGCCACAGTCTTGGCAAGAGCGAACTGATGATGTGACTAAAGAGCCTTTTTTTTTCTCCTTCGATAAGATCATCATCTGTCGCTGGACTCTAGGGTCTGTTCCTGCTCTCCATAGATACTTGGCAGGCCCATGAATGTCCCTTTGTGTGGAGAGATCCTCCTCAGATAGCACCAAGATGCTCCACGCTGGCATCTGTTTGTTTTCTGTTATGGTTAAGAGGAAAGGGGACCTCATCTTTTCCGCCAGTGCCATACAACTGAATGCTAACAAGCACAAATGGCAAACAGCCGACCTCAGAAGATTTAACGCAAAGTGAATGGCGACTCTGGTGCGC